AAAAAAAAAAGTAAATTAAAAAAAAAAAAAGTGAATCCCCGTTTTGAGAAGGGGTCTGGAATTATTTGTAAGGCGTAGGTGTGTCTTTTAAAGATTTATTTTAAAATAACAGATTCAAGTGCAGCTTCTTAGCATTGTTTACTAAGTTCAGTAATTTTTCTCCAAATTCGGGAATGTTACAAACTGGAGAGCGTTATTATTTGTCAGTTGAAATTCATAAGGCTATAAGGAAAACCACCAAACGTTGTCTGTAGATACCAATATTTGTCAAGAATAATAATAGCAAGTTGCCTAGGGGGAAAATATCATTGGAATACGTAATATCAAAGAGGTATTTAGACCTCAGATTTAAGTTTAAAATAAGTTTAAATATAGAGAAAGTGTACACTGTGCAGTATTAGGTTTTCATACTTTTATGTGTGGTGAAAATGAGGTGAATATTTTTTGAGAATGCCTACCTTGTTTGTTTTATATTTCTGTCAGGACTTTTTAAAAAGTCCTTGTATTTGGATGTAAACTTTTCTTCCCCTTCTGTGTCACTACATCAACTTAAATGGACTGAGAAATAGAACTGAAATAGTTCTAAGAGAATAACATCCTAAAGAATCCATTTTCAATAACTATTCTTTTTCTGGTAGGATTGGGTGAGAAATATGGTTAATTTTTTTTCACCCCTGGACAAAGTATGTCCTTGTTTAGATATATACTTCCTGGAAGGGGGATGTACTATCATTTGAAAAAGGCATTCTGGGTTGCTGTAGATAGCAGTTGAAGCTGATGGTTATCTTTTGTTGTTGTTTCAAGTGTAGCTGTCAGCTGTGTCTTTTATAAGAAAAATATTTTCTTTATTTAGTACTCTACAGCCATATAGTATGATAGATGAAAATATTAATTCCAGAGAATTTAGCACTCACCTATTTGCAAGTTAAGGGTTATCAAACTCATATGTCACTACGAGGCTAGAGGAGGGAACCCTCTCTGTAAAAGTGATATATTTTTCTTTTCTCTTTAGAGGAAACATAAAAATTGTGTATTATTCTTGCCCCTTCTTTACTAAGTGGTTTATGTTGACTTTTTTTTTGCGGTTGGAGGGAATGGAGTAAATTAGAAGATGTCTAGTAAGTAAAAACTCTCTAGGTTTAGAAATGATAAGCATCTTGGCTGGCCGGGCCTGGCTGAGTGGTTGAGCATCGACCTGGGATTCAGGAGATCGAGGTTCGATTCTTGGCCCCAGGTTGCAGGCTCAAACCCCAGTAGGAGGTGTGCAGCAAGCAGCTGATCAATGACTCTTAATCATTGATGTCCCTCTCTCTCCCCCTCTCCCTTCTGCTCTCTGAAATCATTAAAGATATATTTAAAAAAGAAATGAGAAGTATCTTAACTGCCAAAGCCAAATCCTTTTTCATGGTAAAATAGTTTGACAACTTTTTTTTTTTTTTTAAATCCTCACCAGAGGATATTTTTTCCATTGCTTTTCAGAGAGAGTGGAAGGGAGAGAGAGAGAAACATCGATGCGATTGGTTTCCTACTGCACGTGCCCTTGGTTAGAATCGAACCTGGAACCCTTCAGTCCACAGGCTGACGCTGTAACCACTGAGCCAAACCAGCTAGGGCTAATAACACAATTTTTTTCCCTTTTTGGCTTTTATCTAATGTTGCCTGCCTTTGGGCTTAAAAATATTTGTCACTTTGACAAATGAACACAAATAAACACGAAGTACACTCACTTAAAGAATAAATACAGCCCACAAAAATACGACTCAGATCACACATTTTATAGCAGAGAAGTCTTGGTATAGCAATTTAACTTTATAATTTAAATATTCGTTGTGAGTGGTTTTGCTGCTATTATGATAACGTGCTTGTTTTCTCAGGTTTAAAATTTAAGGCAAAACTTGATTTGACATTAGTGTTTTCCTCTGCTTTTTATTTGATGATGTAAGCTCTAAATTTACTCTATTAATTTGTGTTTGAATATGGAGTTTGCTCTTACAGATGATCTTTTGTATTTAACCTCCAAGTCATATAAGATCTGTTGCTATTTTAAGCATGCGGTGATGGCAAATTCTGTACTCATTTCTAAATGTCAGAAGTATATAAATCATAATGCTTAAAAATTGTTTGACCCTGGCCATGGCTGGTGTCCTCAGTGGTTAGAGCATTGACCAGAACACCAAAGGGTCACCCGTTCAATTTCTGGTTAAGGGCACATACCTGGGTTGCAGGTTCGATCCCCGGGCTGTGCTGGAGGCAACCAGTCTATGTATGTCTGTTTCTGTCTCTGTCCCTCCCTCCCTTCCACTCTCAAAAAAATCAATGGAAAAAATATGCTTGAGTGAGGATTAACAACAACAACAGAAAAATTGTTTGGCCCTGGCCAGTGTAGCTCAGTTGGTTGGGCATCGTTCTGTGTACCAAAAGGTGGCAGATTCAATTCCAGGTCAGGGCATATACCTAGGTTGTGATGGGAGGCAAACTGTCGATGTTTCTCTCTCACATTGATATTTCTCTCTCTCCCTTTTCCTTCCCTCTCTCTAAAATCAATAAAAACTAAAAAATTATTTGAAGACTGGGTATATTATGCATAAAAACTAAATAATATTTTGTCTTTTGGACTGGTATAAATTTAGTAATTTCCTAATAAGTTATATGATGACCCCTCCTAAAATATAAGCCCCACAAGAAGATGGATTTTTGGCCGTGGCCATTTTGGCTCAGTAATTGGAGCATTGGCCGGAGGACTGAAGGGTCCTGGGTTCAATTTCGGCCAAGGGCACTGCACCTCAGTTGCAGGTTCAATCCCTGGTCAGGGCGAGTGCAGGAGGCAACCAATTGATACATCTCTCTCACATCATCTGTCTGTCTGTTCTCTTTCTCTTTTTCTTTCTCTCTCCTCTCCCCTCTCTGAAAAGCAATGGAAAAATATCCTTGAAAATAAATAAATAAAAGTGAGTATTCTATTACTCAAGGCTTTGTTTAAAAAAAAAAAGAAAATAGATATTTGACTGTTTTGTTCATTTTTGCCTAACACATAGTAGGTTCTTATTACATATTTACTGAATGTGGATCTTAAATGGTGTATTCAGGTCCTGAGCAGAGTGAAATGAAAGTATAATAACATGATTTTTAATATTGTAAAATGGAGTTAATCATTGAAGTTGGAAACAAGGGATTTTTGAAACCTTATTAGTGTTATTTTTTCTATCTTCAGGTGATTTGATGGAAGGTGAGCTCTATTCTGCACTCAAGGAAGAAGAAGCATCTGAATCTGTTTCTAGTACCAATTTCAGTGGTGAAATGCACTTCTATGAGCTTGTAGAAGACACAAAAGATGGCATCTGGCTGGTTCAGGTATCAGAAACAGTGATAGAAGTGAATTTATTTTTACCAAAAGAGTATTCACCAGCTGGTAATACTTCTGTACTTATGTCAAGTTTCTTAGACATAACTCAGTTCTCATAGGGAGGCTCCAGTGTCCTCTTAAAGAGGTTTCGTAGACGAAGGAAAATAAAAACTGAAGAGTGAGTGACGGGCAGTGTTGGGGAAAGAGACGACCGCTTTGTTTAGAATCAGCAGAAGCAAATCCACTTTAGTTGTTGGATCTTCATTAAAGTAAGAAGCATACATATATATTCCTTTTATTTGGTGGTTTGTACTATATATCTTAATTTTTGTGAACTACAGTTTTTAATTCAGCGACCCAAATAATTTTTGTATCTAAAGGAAGAACCCTAAAGTAAAAAAAGAAAAAGAGTCTTTCTATACGGACATAGCCAACTGTTGTGACTATAGAAGAAGAACTAGTATAGAGAATCGTGGGGGTGGGCTACTCATTACTTTGCTTATGAAATTCATGAGATTATAATTTTAAACCCTAGCTCTTATCAAAGCTATGAGATTTAATTAGTGTATTAGAATTTTAGAACTATGAAGGACTTTAAAAATCATCTTTTATGCTTCCCACTGTGTAGTTTATGTATCATTCATGATAACTGAGTGGGCACACATTATCATTTATGTATTTTAATGTAAATTAGAAAAATCAATATATTGAACATGTAATTTCATAAATATCACTTAGGGCAAGGCTTAAAGTTACTTAAATTTTTTAAAATATAAGTTCCTTAAAGTATCATATTAAGTATATATTAAGTAAATTATCAACTTGTTCAGCTAAAATTACGATTATTGAACTAGGATCAAATCCCAGATCCCCTCATTTCTTGTCTAGTGCTCTTGTCATTTCACACTGGGGTTGGTAAAGTTTGATTTAGGGTATAAAAATCAAAATGGCCATTGCTTTATATATCTTTCAGTATGAGAACATGACTGCAAAATGTGCGAGAAAAAGCTGAGTTCAGATCTGGTTCTGTCATTGATTTCCATTATGATTGTGGATAGATTCTGTTGCACATGGTCTGAAACAAATACATATATAGCTAAAGAGGACAGAAAAGTACTGTAATTCACTGGGCTAAAGGCTTAAGGTTTGGGAATTCTTCAGGGATTACATTGGATACTCATGACCTTTCCTTTGCTTGCAATCTTCCGGTTGTGTTTGACCTATTACCCTCCAGATTATCTAATCTAGTAATTTAAAAAATGGATTTATTGCTCTGGCCAGTGTGTCTCAGTGGTTAGAATGTTTACTCATAAAGAAAGTTTATGAGAATACCAAAGATATAAATGCTATTGAGTTTTGTTTTTGTTGATCACTCATCCTCATTTTAGTGATTTTATACAATTTGTATATATATATTTAGGTTGGCTATGATTTTGAAAGTGGAAACTCCCTATTAAAATGAAATACTGAGAGATGCAAAAAACATCATAGCACAGCACTCCTGTGCAGTTATGTTATTTAATTTAGCCTAGATGTTGTTATATGGTCATTAACAATATTAAAAGGCATATGCCAAATGTTCTGAATAATGATAAAACCCACCTCTAAAATACATTTATAGGCAAAAGTAGGCGGCTTTTTCTTATACCAATGTAATACCTGTAGTACATGTGGAAGAGAGTAGGCAGTAACCTGAGGCCTAGTTTTTCCTTGTTTAACTGGACTACATAAGATTGTCATCAGAAAATATGGCCACTTGGCATCACTCACTGTCCAACCCAGTTCCATCCAGTTATGTGCTGGAGCCAGCTCATCCTGTTTCATGAAGGGCGATTGTTAACATCTCTTCCCAACTCCATATTTAGAGATGTCATGTTGCTAACTTGAAGTCAGCCATCTGTGAGTATTTGCACTAAGGAAATCAGCAAATTAGAGCTTCCTTTTTCTTCTGAAGAGCTAGTTGATAATCATTTACCAGCAAACCACTGGTGCCATCCATTCCAACCATCTAACAAATATTTTTTGAAATCTAGTATGTGCCAGCTAAATTTTGTGATAAGCAGTGAGGGCACAAAGATGAAAACATATAGTCTGTGCCATGAAATAGCTTACAGTTGTTTACTAAAATATGTGGGACAGTAAAAATCTTAGTATATAGTTAATTATCTTTCCTAGTTGAGTTAGGTGGTCTGTGATGGTGCTAGCATCTTAAAAGATCCTGAAGAAGTTCTATTAGAAAATGAAGTGGAACCTAGGAAAATTGCAGTAGTTTTTTTTCTGGAAAAAGTGTATTTTTTAAATACACTGGATTGGAAGCCTTTATGCCTGACTGGGGTTATTACATAGCAAGCAACATATATTTATGCTAATGTTTGTCTAGAAAGCATTCCAGATGACAGACTGTTGGGGAAGGGACTTTTATTGTAACAGTAATCAAACTTTGAGACTTTAGAGAACCTGTATAATTAGAAGTAGAAGAATGAATTACTGAACCATTAAAAGCTGAAATTGTTTGGTTCAACATAAATATTCCATGAGTACCCAAATGAGTTAGGCTAGCTGCACTAGACTGGCTGCAGGAAGTACAATGGTGAGCATGTGTCGGGATGCCAGTTAGAGGCAGATACCTTGGGAAGGGGAGGTTTAAAGATGGCTTCGCTTCTAGCCTGTTGCCAAGTCTGTCTCAGACTTGGAACTCAGGCTGTACTTTTATCTAGGTTTTTTTTTCTGGTCTCTTAAATATTCCTTACAGGGAATGCAACATACTTCCTGAACTGCCAAGAAATATGCTTCCCCTCTTAATAAGACCAGCAGTGTGAGTGCTTCTCAGAATCATTGTGCGTACTTTTGGGTATGAGCTATAGTTGGGAACTCTTACTGGTGTGACACAGTAGTAATAGGCTTAAAGTATTTTGTTGTGCCATGTGACTCAGCCAGGTGAGTTATTTTGTGAAGATTTTTAGTGGTGGGTTAATTCAGCCTCCACCAAATTTCATTTATGCTAAACCTTTAGTTGAATAATATAACTATTTAGGACATTATACAAGATAACTTCTAATTGCATAAACATAACCATAGAGTCAAATAAAAATGCTTTCATGCAAAGCCTAGGGGATTTTTCATTTTTGTGTGACTCTCAGGAATCATTAAACTTTTCAAAAGCATGTGTTGGACCAGCTTGCTGAATAAATAAGGCCCTGGGGTTAAACATTGTCATGTACTTGCCTCAGGGGTGTTCCCACCTCTCTTCATACACTTCTCTTGTGCCTGGGAACAACCACCTGTCATTCCTACTTCCTTTCCTAGCACTGGAGCTCTTATAAGTCTGAAAGGTACCTGTGCAGTGATCAGCATCTTCACTGGAAGATACCCCTATACTTAGGGCCAAACCTTATATTGATTCAGACAACCTCTTGATTAATCCCTTAACTCAGTGTCATTTTAAACACAGACCTGAAAATGTTTGTTATTTGCAGGCTTGATTAGGAAATGGGAGTGCAAGGGAGTTCTTTTAAAAGGAAGGCAAAACAGGGAGTGTGGTGATATGACTGCACAGAGACTTCTTAACCCTGAGTGATCTGAAGAATAAGTTCAAGATTTCTTTGATTACTTGACGGAAAGAAGAACCACTACATTGACTCTTGAGTGGTAGGAAAAAAGGAAAAGAAATGCTTTGTCTTGCTCGATCTCCCTTCTTTTTCTTTTTTTCTTCTTCTTTTTTTTTAATATATCTTTATTGATTTCAGAGAGAGGAAGGGAGAGGGGAGGGAGAGAAACATCAGTGGTGAAAGAGTCATTGGTCGGCTGCCTCCTGCACACCCCCTACTGGAGATTGAGCCCGCAACCTGGGCATGTGCCCTGACCGGGAATCAAACCGTGATCTCCTGGATCCTAGGTCAATGTTCAACCGCTCAGCCACGCCTGGTCAGACTCCCTTATTCTTCAAGTAAAATTTATACAGCACCTTTGGACCATGGAAAAATGTGAAAGCTAGGAACTTATGTGTAACTTATGTGAACCTACTCAGAAAGAGCTTTCATCTACGAAGACCATGTCCTCAAATTGCCCTTTTTCTGGTTCCTTCAGCCATCACAGCATTTGAATAATGACTTGTGTCTCCTTAAATAAGGCCATTTATTGTCACTAAAAAGTACTAACAAAGCCATTTGTTTATGCCTTAAGTTGTGTATGTGTATTTATTAAGCATCAAAGTTATGTTACAAAATATTACGTATGTATCTGTAGACATGAGGATGATAATATCAATGGTACATGATATTACTGGACTGTAGGCACATTACGTGTTATTTGTCACTACCATGCGCTCGCTCTCCTCATGTTGCCCTTGAAATTTGTTAGACTTCCAGCAGAGGGGCCACAGATGAGGTAGCTGTACCATCTCCCACCTCTCTCTGGGAGTTGACTGTTGGCATTCATTTCACACACACCCCTGGAATTTCACTTCCTGGAGGCTTTGTGAACATGAAAATAGCCCTTCCTTCCAGAAAGATTAGAGGCCCTCAGAGTATTGTGTTGTAATTTTGAATTAAATAGTACTAGTAATATAGCATTCATGAAAAAAAACAACTTGGCATATGTACACCCTGAGCTTAAAATAAACAGATGTTTTGATGGAGACATTTTTTGGCTTTCCTTTAAGTTCCCATTTAGTTGTTTTTGTTTATCGTTTTTTTAATCCTCACTCGAGGATATGTTTTTATTGATTTTTAGAGAGAGAGGAAGGGGGGGAGAGAGAGAAATATCAATCAGTTTTCTCTCATACCTGCCCCAACCAGGGATCAAACTCAGAACCTAGATATGTGCCCTGATTGGGAATCAAACCCACAATGTGGTGTGTGTGTTTTGGTGTACAGGATGATGCGCCAACCAACTGAACCACCCTTCTAGGGCTGTTTTTATTTTATTTATATATATATATATATATATATTTTGGTTTTTTTTAATTTTTGTTTTTTACTGGTATCTTGAAATTCTGCCTTCATTCAAAGCAGGAAGATTATGGAATAAAGGGAAAAGGTGTTAACTATTAGAAAGTCTAAAAAACAAGTCATTACATAATTTGAAGATTAATTTACTTGTTAATTTAGTTTTTTTGTTTTTCTTTTTAAAAAAATATTTTTCCTCTCCCAATCCTAATTGTGTTCATGTTTGAAAGGTATTTGCAAATTTGAAGTAGAAGTTCAAAAATGTAGAATTCATTGTGGTAATTCTTTTTATATGTTAGAACCTTTCATGATTTTTATAAAAGGACCGTAGAAGCAATAGTATTGATTTTAGTCAAAGCATAGTTTAATATAAAACATACGTTTGACTCTTGGCTCCATATTATACTTCTTAAAAAGTGAAATTTGAACTCATCAAACCCACATGTGATCATTTTAACTTAAACTTTGAGGGTGTTTTTTTATAATTTTCAGAGCAGAGAAATGACTCCAAGGGCCATTTTCTTAAACCTGTGTAACTTAATTCTAGAGGACAGGCCACATGGTGGAGAAGGGATATGGATAGCTTTTTAAAAGGGCTTTGACTCCCCTTCTGTGTAACTGCCACAGAGTGTGGGAGTTGAATGTACTGTATTAAGTATTTTAAGTCTTTTCCATTTCCAATTGGACAGTTGTTCATTCTATAAGAATTGCAATGACAATATGATGATATAGTAAAGAAGAACTAGGAACAGATTATCTTTTTTTTTTTTTTAAGTGAAGTTATATTATAATTGGTTGGGTTGACTCTATTTTAAGTAATTAAAGTTTCTGTTTTTCTTTTGGGGGGAGTAGGTCATAGCAAATGACAGAAGTCCCTTGGTGGGTAAAATCCACTGGGAGAAAATGGTGAAGAAGGTGTCCAGGTTTGGAATACGGACAGGCACTTTTAACTGTTCCAGTGACCCCAGGTAAGTTGACAGGCATTTCTTAGAATCTGAGTTCTGACCAGAATTTTTAAAAATAAAGACAGTGATATTAGAAGCCTCTTTAAAATGAAAGTTAGTTCCGCTATTAGGTACGCAGGTGCTTGATTAATAGTTTTTGATAAACTGGCAGTTTCTTACTTTCTTTCTGAATTTTTTTTCTCTCTATCTGGTTCTTCCGTGTTCTTTCTAGTAGGGGTGACTCTTAATTGTATGTCTTCAGTCCTTTTTGTTTCACTTTTCTTTCCCAGAGAGACTTCACATTTATGGCTTTAGGTAACACCTTTGTGCTGACCTAAATCTTCCATAATCCTGATCTCTGGTTTGCATTTTGACATGCATTTTAATCTGCCCTACAAGTATCCCTAATACATCCTGTTCCCTAAACCTAGTGCCAGAATTCAGATTCATCCTCTCTTTAATAAACCATGTACCCTTTCTGCCTTCCCTTTTCTGTCTTTTATTGTTTGTTTTTCCTGTTTTCTCAGGCAAGAATCCTTGTAGACATTTTTGTTTGTCTTTTTGTCATCTCCAGTTTTCTGTCAAATGATTTCTTGTTTTATTATTCCATTATTTGTTCTTTACAATGCTTTTTTTTTTCAGTTTCTAGTGTCACCAAGTTAGAACTTAAATTCATCTATTCATTTATTCATCAAATATTTAATAAAAGATTAGCATCTATAGCATATTTTATTTAGTGCTTAGGAGGGGGCATATGATATAATTGTAGAAAGCCCCACAACATTAGGTAATTTCTACTGTAGATAGATATGCCTGACTTACCTATATACCCTATATGTGTCCACAGTTGGGAAAGCTGTTGACTGTAGGAACCTTCCTACACCCCTGCTACACCTCTGGTTTCCCTGCTTTTCTACTTTAGGCCCACGTGTGCTTCTGTTCTTACTCTCCTCGTTTTTGCTCACTGTAATGTAGGGTGAGAGCTGTTGCGGCAGGACTCCCTAAGGGTTGGGGATCAGAGGGGAAGTTCTTGTATCTCCTAACTCATATTTAGTCTCATCTACCCACAGAGCTCCTAACTCTTCTTCACCACAGAACCTTGATCATATTCCAGTGTTTTGTTGAAATGTTCAAGATAGTCTAAGTGCTAATGTTCTTATGAAAAGGAGGTCATTCTTATTTCTGTCCTTTGTTTACCAAAAACAATTGCATTTGGCCTAGTCTCATCATTCCCAGAATCTAAGTGAAAGATCTTTTTTACCCTGCTGGTGATTGCAATATCAGAACAAATAATAGTAATGGTATTTTTATACTTTTTTTGGATTATGCCAGAAGTCAGCATTTTATTGAAAAATATTCAGCCCGGCTGGGCATGGCTCAGCGGTTGAGCATTGACCTAGGATCCAGGCGATCAGGGTTCGATTCCCAGTCAGGGCACATGCCCGGGTTGTGGGCTGCATCTGATCAATGACTCTCTCATCATTGATGTTTCTATCTCTCTCTCCCTCTCCTTTCCTCTCCCTGAAGTCAATAAAGATATATTTTTTTAAAAAAAAGAAAAAAGAAAAATATTCAGAATTGATTTTTTTAAAAATCGAACTAAATAATACATTTCAAACACAGCAACTTACAAATATATTAGAAAATATCGAGTAAAAACAAATTTAAAGAAATGTAAAGGTTAAACATGTATTACAGCTTAGTATAAGTTGTTTGATAACATTAATAAAGAGTTCAAAAATAAAGTAAGCACAACACAGAATGAAGATAATCTATTAAGCATGAGAACCTGAGGGAAGTAGTAATATTTGATTTTTTTTGGTGTAATCTTTTTTTGTGTGTGGTATAATCTTACAAAGCTAAATATATAAGAAACATAATTGAGGTCAGTGGATTTTATTCCCAATATTGCTAGCTTCTTTTGGAAAAACTCTTTTTGATTCTATACTAGCTAAGGAATGATGAAGATACATATAAGCTACCTCCATATATTTTCCTCTAAATCCTTCATCTTCAAATAATCGTACCTCTTATGATGGAAGAGATATTTTTGAGCAGTGTTTTGTGTTTTTGTTAATCACAATTATAATTTTTTTGTTATTAAAAACACTTTTACTTTATCTTAATAACTTTTATAAAGATGAAGATTTTTTAAAAAATATATATTGATTTCAGAGAGAGAAAGGGAGAGAGAGCAATAGAAACATCAATGATGAGAGTCATTTATCAGCTGCACCCTGCACTCCCCCTACTGGGGATGGAGCCCACAACCCCAGGCGTGTGCCCTGACCAGGAACTGAACCTTGATCTTCTGGATCATAGGTCGATGCTCAACCGCTGAGCCATGCCAGCTGGGCATAAAGATAAAGATTTTGATGCACAGTTAGTTGTATCAGTTTCGATGTTGTCATGTTCACATTTCCTTTTATTTGGAAAGTCTTCCAACTAGAGTAAGAACTGTTCTTGCTATGGGAGCTCTGCTTAGGGTTATTTTTTTCTTCTTTTGAGGATTATGGAAATGTAGAAGAATAAAATAGAAGAACTGGCCAGGGAATAGTGTTACTCAGCAAGAATATATTACTGAATAGCATATTTTGAATAATTGATCATCATTTTTATTTTGGATTTTTAAAAACACCAAAACACTCTACTCCACTGTCTGTGTTGCGTTCTTTACTGCAGTTCCTTCTCTGGCTGGCCTCCAGAACAGCCTCCTTCAGTGTGCCTGTCCCATTGTACAGCAGTACTTTCTCAACCTTTTCAATCCCCATAAGACTATTCAGGACCACTGCTTCTGGGCATCATCTGACTCCATCCATGGCAGGAGTTTTAATTTTTTACCTGAGTATCCAGCTTACTTGGCCGTATAGTTCCTCTCATTCCCCAAACAAGCGATCTAGCTCAGATGGCAGCACCTTATGGGTCTATTCTCTGCTCTTTTTTTTTTTTTTTTTTTTTTGGAGAAAATAGAAAATTAAGTGGGTTTATACCTTGGGAGGTGGTGGTGGAGAGATCTGGGGTAGTAAGGAGCCGGTGGAGGACATTGGAATTGCAGGAAGCTGAGTGGTAAACAGGGATGTGGGCCCATGGAATAAGCAGGGAAGTAGAGATTGGAGGAAGAACCAGGAAGGCCAAGGAGGCCAATGACTTCATCTGAAGAAATAACATTATATAATCAGAATACCAAGATTTCTTTTTAAATATAGCATGCCACACCAGAAACTGGAGTACCAAAACTCACAAGCCATGTTTTCTATTATTTTTAGTCTTCAAATTCTCTAAGAAATCTCAAATGATTTAAAAACTAGAAAATATTTTCATGGTACTGTTACTGAATTTATTCAGAACTTTAAAAAGCTTTTTTAAAATTGGAAGTAAAAGTTTTTATATAGATAAAAGGTAATATAGCATAATTTTTTTTTTTAGTTTTTTTGTTTTTGTTTTTTCTTCTTTTCAAAATATTACAGATGTCCCTTTTTCTTCTCATTGACCCCTTCCACACCACCCCACCTGCCTCCCCAGTCCCTCACCATACCATTGTCTGTGTCCTTGGATTATACATATAAGTTCTTTGGTTAATCTCTCACCCTCCTCCATCCCTCTCACATTCGTCAGTCTGATCCATGCTTCCATGTCATTGAATCATTTCTTTCCATCAGTTTATTAAGTTCTTTATATTCCACATATAAGTGAGATCATGTGATGTTTGTCTTTCTCTGCCTGGCTTATTTTGCTTAGCATAATATTCTCCAGGTTCTTTCATACTGTCCCAAAGGGTATGAGATCCTCCTTCTTTACAGCTCCGTAGTACTCCATGGTGTAAATGTCCCACGGCTTTTTCATCCACTCATCTACTGATGTGCACTTGGGCTGTTTCCAGATCTTAACGATTGTAAATTGCACTGCTGTGAACATAGGGGTGCATATATTCTTTCTGATTAGTGTTTCAGGATTCTTAGGATATATTCCTAGAAGTGAGATCACTGGGTCAAAAGGGAGCTCCATTTTTAATTTTTTGAGGAACCTCCATACTGTTTTCCATAGTGGCTGCACCAGTCTGCATTCCCAGACTGTACTAGGGATCCCCTTTCTCCACATCCTCACCAGCACATGTCATTTGTTGATGTGTTGATTTGTTGATGGTAGCCATTCTTAAAAAAATAATATGTACATTAGCCTTTATTTCTGTTCAGCAGTAAGGCTTAAATTAATATACTTTATTTGTATATTGGATTTCTTTAGAACAGCATGTAAATATATATTAGTAGCCTGGTGTTTTATAAGTATTAGACTTTTTCTCAAGTCTGGAAACATGATTTAATTTGAAAGATACATGATAACATACAGAATTACTTTTTCATCTGTAGTGATAAATTTTAAAACTATCACTTAGCTCTGAACTGAAAAGAAAGTACATAGTATATTTGTTTTCTTACATGAAGAAATACTACACACTAAAACTGTCTGTTTTATAGACTAAGGTTTTCTATTAGAAAGACTGTCATTCAATTTATTACACAAATCAGAAGCCAGTTCTCTGAAGTGGTTTCAAAGATAAAAAGAATGACCAAGAGTAGAAATGTGTCGTCATAAGTTTCATATGCAATTAAAAAAATTAAATCTATTTAAAGATTTTAAGATGTAAATAAGGCAGTTATCTGTGTATATATATTTAACTTGTTGATTTGGGGGGAGTAAAAATAGAATTAATATCAATGAGTTATTTTGCATTAAATGAATACATTGTTAAGGGATAGAAAATATATTCTTTTTTAGGATATATAATTCTAAAACCATTTCAGTTAAAGCAATATTTATTTCATTGGAATCTTATCTTGTTAAGGAAGTGAATCAACTCAACAAGAAGCTGAGTTGTGATTTGTGATTCTGAGTCACACAGATCGTTTCCCAGAGTCATTACTAACCTTGTCTTTATGACAGAACATGTCTTTATTTATTGTCATCCATTTACAAATCTGTAACAAACAAAATGTATCAACAGAGAGTTGTTTGTACTCAAAAAAA